TGTGTGTGTGTGTGTGTGTGTGTGTGTGTGTGTGTGTGTGTGTGGGCACGTATTTGCAAACATTTTCCAGAAAAAAAATGCGTGCTCATGGGGACAGAACGTGCATCGTGGGGTCCAATGCCTGGTCCCCATGTATACAAATGCTTATTCTGGGTGGGGCGGGGGTGGGGGGGTTGTTTAGGACCAAGGTGTAAATTGGGTTTAAGTTCATTTTAGGGTCAGTTAGGTTTATTTTAGGGTAAATGGACAGGGTTAGGCTATAAAATTACCAACAGATGAATAGAAGAAAATCCATGGTTCTCACAGGGATATAAAAATGAGACTGTGTGTGTGGAGGAGGGGGTGTCAGTGTTTGTTTTGCGGCACAATGGTTTTTAGTTTTCTTTTTTATCTATGACTTTCAGTAAAATCTTTCTTTTCTTGTATTTTATACTTTTTATTCTAACAGAACTTGTGGACTTTTTAAAAAAGCATCTGAACCCTAAATACCTTTCTTTTGCAGGAGCTGCACTATGCACAACTCAAGTTCTTAAAGAAACCAAAAGGAAGGAGCGTCCGGAGGGAAATCGAAGATACTAAAACAGAATACGCTCAGATCAAAGTGAACAATGGACCTCCAGCTCCATCCTCYGTCATTAATACTCAGGTAAACAAAGACAATCTATAGGTTTGATTGATGCAGGTCAGGTTGGGTAAATCAACCTTTCAGTTTATTAAATAATAACCTACACAACTTTGCTTAGTTGCATCTCAACATGTGACAAGACTGTGGATCAAATCTCTGATCTTCTGACAAAAAAGATGTCCATAAAATATAATAGATAAATTATGTAAATTATCCTATTCATGTTTAGTGAACCCTGTTCAAATCTGTGGAAGATATGAAAAACTCAGCAGTTATGTATTTTATTTAACTTCAAAACAAAGAAAAAATACATTAATGCACAATAATATTTTGTTTAATGCTTCATTAAACCATCTGACTCATTATTGTCAGAGGATAGACATTCCTTTCATGACTTTGCCAAAAACTAAAATAGGTTTTCAGCATCAACTTCTAAAACCTTAAACACAGACACAGTGTGTGTTAAACACAGTGTGATATGATTGTGAACTGTCAGGACATTACATACTGTTGTCCCTTGAACAAAGCAATTAATATTTTACAGTATTTGAATGTGAAGTTTATTAACAAAGACACTGTCCATCCTAGCTGTCCATCCCTCAGAGTTAACTTGAGCTTTTTTCACAGCTGCTTTGGACCATTAACTAAAAAAAATGTTTCAACATAAACTGGAATTTTTGGACAGTAATTGTTTGTTTCAGGCAGAAATAAGAAATTTGATTTCTCTTTTTATTAGACACAACTTGATTATTTTTCCTGAACCAATCTTTTTTTCCTGCAGGGGCTGGTTTCTACAGGAAGTAGCTTTCCTAACAACAGTAATCTTAGAACAGTTCAGGTGCAGTTAGAAAATACTGCATCAAACTACAGTCAGATTAGAGTAGACAAAAACCTTCCACCACTTCCTCCTGCTCGTGCTGCTGCTCCTCCTGGTCCTCCTGGTGGTCCTCCTCCTGCTCCCAGCTATGATGTCTACATGCAGCAAGGGCAGAGACCCGCTCCTCGTCCTCCTGTTGCTCCACGACCTTCTGCTCAGGTAAACAAAAACAAAAGTGCTGATCTTACTGCTGCAAACCATGGTTTTGAAAGAAGTGACACTCAGGTTTTACTGCTCGATAAACCTGTATTGGAAAAGTGTGAATCTGTAATTTTCTTATGTAAAGATAGCCATGTAAATCATATAATTTATACTCATTGGAGT